TAGGGAAAAACTGCACTTAGACATCATTTTAGATTTTACAAACAAACATTTATTCTATGTTCCACATTCGAGACATTAAAATCCTAAACAATAAAAGAGAGAATTGGGCCAGATGATTGTTGGAAAACACATACCGTGGGGATTACAGAGAGGAGCAGTTCTGGAAATGGAAGCTATTTGTTCTGGGTTATTGTTGAATTATTTGCATTCTGGTGAGGCTGCAAAGTCCCCAAATCAGATATGTCTTCTCCCCACCCATCCAATAACCCATTTCTAACTTTATGTGCCTGGAGCTCAAGGACTGGATTAGTTTTCCCCCAAAGATCGGTTATACATTAATAAGCACTGAGATCCATATCTTAGAAATATAATTCAGGAGTAAGAAGCATCTATTATGTAGATCATAAATCTCACAGAAATGTAACAAAGATGTCACTTTTCTACAAGATTTTATTTTTAAAATATATAGACATATATTTCGACAGGAATATTTTTCTGTCTCCACTTAGGAATCTAATATATGGCTAAATTTCTTTTTATACATTAAAATAAGAGACTCACACTAAGACCACTTCTGTACAAAATAAAGATTTTTCACATTTATTGTATGATGAAAGCCCAAGATATTTCTGCTTTTAGCACTACCTGTGCAGAAGATCAAGGTTTGAACCTCATGTGTTTCAGTCCACCATCAGAAAACTAGAAAGAAGCTCCTTTGACATAGCCAAGCTGCTAGTTTAAGTAAAGGTTACAGTGAAAGTCGTTTCCTACATTAAGACGCTAATGCTTAAGCTCAGTTAATTCTTGCTCCAAAGTTTGTTTACTGCCCTACAGCCCAAGTCTAAGTGATTTTATACTGGAGATTGAGAGGATGAGGAATTGAGGTACAGGCAGCAGTCATTATTATCAATTCCATAGCAACCACCAGTCTTTTTCTAAACACAGAGACTCTGACACGGCAAAACAAGTTTCAGATGAAATTGGCATTGCAACCCTTGTATTCTGCTTGATCTGGGTGCGGAGATAAAGACTTCTGCAGCCAGGAACTCATTCCTAAAGGGAACAGGCAGTAACTCCCATTATTAAAGATACATTCTTATTTTTGTTTCAACCATTGCATTGGGCTGCATTATTTGAAACACTGAAATGATTTTTAACTTTCTACAGAAACTGCCCCAATGAAGAAGCCACACCTTTAGCAAAGCATCTTGATAGTCATACATTTGAAGACTTCCTATTGTAAAATCAATTCGTTAAATATTCATTGAGCAATGCAACCATTTGTTCCTCCTATTTTCTAAAATTCTTTGTGCTCAAAGCAGTAAGACACAAACATGGGGGAGAGGAAAATAACATTTTTAATAGCTTGATTTTCACCAGGCTGGACATCCAGTACCTACCACACACTAGACATGTTCACTATCTCATTTAATCAAACACATCCTATTAGAAAGGTACCATTTTTACATCTGAGACTTTTGAAGTTAATTTACTCCAAATAGTAAGATGGGAGAGGGAAGAAACTCTAGAGTTCTTAACCACTCTAAGTTCTCACTCATTGTGTTATAACTTAACTGTTTTTCCTTTGAAAGTCACAGAGTTAAAAAAACTTGCCTAAGTTCACATAACTATTGGGTGTCAGAGTGAGTGCTTGACGCCAGTCTGAAATCCATGCTTCTGTCAAAACAGACTCCCCATTATATCACCCAGCTATGTGTAATGATGAATCGCTTTATAACCTGTTAGATGGTGTAATGTTAACTGCATTTTATTGGCTCTTACACAACATCACATACAGCTGCACTATGTAGATGATTTTGATGGTTGTCATACAAATGCTAAGATAAAGCAGCTCATGGCTCTTGGAGAGCCACAGAGGGGCTCCTAAGCTCCTTGGCATCGTTGACTGTCAGTGGCTGCAGGGTCTGCTTTGGGGCATGGTTTAATAAGGGCAAGCTGTCAACAGAGATAGATACTGGATCGGCTAATTCAAAGATGGCACAAAAAGTCTGCCTCAAACTCTTTAACTTAAAAGAGTCATATTCCTGTGTCATGCTGGAGAAATCACTATACCCTGCCTGGACACATCCTCTCATAGGCTAAAAAAATGAGCAAATACCAAATCAGTAATAAAGGGTTGGAAGGGGAAATATGGAGGCTAAGAAAGTAGGGTGAACCTTGAGGAGAGGGAGACCTAGCCTCTAATTATAATTTCCACAAAATCATTCGACTGTCTTCTCAAGGAAAACAGGATCTGGGTCAAGCAAATGCTGGTGTCTCCATTCCTGTGGTCAAGCAATCAAAGAAAACCCTCTAGACCGGCCTTCATCAAGACATATGCAGAGGCAGACTTCTTCCAAAGGTTTTGGCAGGGGTCACAAACCCAAATGCCTAAAAGGCTCAACACACATGAGTGAAATGGTTGAGGAGGTGGCAGCAATTATGCCAAAGCTGTTATATGTGGGTTGTGTCCTCTCTGATGGGGCATCTTTATAATTCATCCACCCAAAGGTGTTACGTTTTTCCAATTCCCAAAAATGGATGGTACATTCTAGGAGCCTCCCTGGATTAGGGTAAACTGGCAGCCACTACCCAACTCCAGTTTCTATGTAAGAAATCAGGCCCAGTATTGTCAAAATTTGAACTTCTTTTAAAAAGAGTCAAAAATCAGATTTCTTTTTACATGATATTCTCCTTGCTTTTAATTTTTGGCAACTAGCTCAAATCATTTTAAATGTTGTGCAAGCCAGTCATAACTGTCTGCCCTCTGAATGTAACCTAGACACGGGCCACAGTTTCTGACCCTTGCTCTACAGAAATGGAGGTTCTCGGGTTCACCTTCCCGAGAAACAGACACAAGAATAACAGCTACTAACAGAATTGGATTTTCCTTGAAAAACAAAACAGAACAAAACAAAACACAAAAACCTTCCTAGGGAAATATAAAATGTAAAAACACCCTTACCAGAACTCGTAAGAACTTTTTTCTTGCCGGTTACTGAATTTGTAAAGATTGCTGCTAATGTTGCATAGTTAATGCACTGAGGAGACAGTTGCCAATCATGTTGAAAGGTGTTTACAGGTGCTTTAATGAAAAAGCACGACTTCTTGTTATTAGCATTGCTAGCTACCTGTGGGTTACCTGCAGAGTCCTTTGATGTCAAAGGGATTGGTATTTTTGGTAAACTGGGCATCGTGTGTGATTACTCTATTTCTATGTCATAGTTGAAAAATATCTACTCATGTCAATAACTTAGAGGTCTTCTAGATGACAAAAAGCAAGTCTGCATTCTGCTTGGCCATATATCATAGCAAAATTGCCGGCCAATACTCCAATTCTTCAATTCTTTATTGTTCGTAATGAGGTACTAAAAGGAAAGAATACAGCTCATTTTTAGGGATGTTAAATTGAGCCTTCAGAGCTCAGAGTTGGAGAAAAAAAAAACTTGTACAGATTTAGCACAAGGGGCAAGATGTCCTTTGTTAAGGAGAAACATTATGTTTACAACCACTTGAAGATCTACAGCAGGGGTCCCCAACCTTTCTGGCACGAGGGACTGGTCCTCCTATGAGAATCTAACACCTGATGATCTGAGGTGGAGCTGAGGCGGTGATGCTAGAGCTCGGAAGTGGCTGCAAATACAGATGAAGCTCCTCTCACTGCCCTGCCACAGCTCACCTCCTGCTGTGTAGCCCAGTTCCTAACAAGCCACAGACGGGTACTAGTCCATGGCCTGAGGTTGGGGATCCCTGCTCTAAGGGAACACAGGGAATATCTGTGTTCTCCAAGGTCCACTGCATGTTAACCGTTGCCAGACCCCCAAAGACATGCAGGCAAAGGCATTGTATTCTTATTTGAAAAATCAAATTTCTAAGGGCTTTAGATCAATAATTTTAAATCCCTGCATAACAAAAGGAAACTCCCTCCCAGGACGAATGGAGAAAAGCAATATTTTAGTTTATGAAGTTGCCCCTGAAATTAACCAAAGAAAGGAAGACTGATGTGCATTGGGTATAATTTCATTATAATCTTTAGTTTTCTCTCTCTTTTTCTTTCTACAATCACTCTTTTTATTGTCAGAGACCAAAAGATCCTTCTCAATTACCTTGTAACTAGACTTCTCAGAGATTAAATAAAAGCAGTTAGACCTGAATTATCCAATAACCACGGGGAGTTTTTGTCTGCAAGAAATGTTTCCCCAATAAAGTTATTCATTTTGGAGAGGAAAATTTTATTAAGATTTATTACATTTATTGGGCATCTGCGGTAAGACAGAAGAATAAAAGAAAACCTTTGCCACTGAGAAATTATCTATTGAAGAAAGGGAAAGTGCTGAGTATCTCTTACATAAAGAATTTGAACTTATAGTAGCAAAGCAAAAGGGAACAAATAATTTGAGAGAAAAATAAATTTTCAGCCTTTAGGAAATTGTTATTTGAGAAATAG